AATGCATGAGAAGTTTACACGATTTATACAAGTATCTCAGTTATCTATCACCTTTAGGAGATGACTGTAGGAAATGTACCACTGATTACGCCTTTGTTCTTCCTTTCTTTCCCTTTTTTTAAAAGGAAAATTATGAATGGGTACTTATTGCAGATGACAGGGACTTCAGCATTAATTTATGTATCTTAGCAATGTTATCACAGCAACAGTCTCATTGGCAATAAAGCCAGAGAAAACAGCTTTTGCTTTTAATGTAACCGAGAAATTGGTTTTTTTGATTGGGGGTTTTTAAAATTCAAATGTTTTTGTATAATTGGAGGGTTTTCTTCTCATAAATTCACATATATTTTAATATGTAATTTCATAGGTCCCAGCACATACCTTTGTTCGTCTAATTTTATTTTTAGCTAATATGGCTTCTTTTTGTAAATAAATTATTTTATTTATCCATTAAGTTATTTTTTGTTGTACTTTTTTCCACAAATAAACTATCTTAATGTTACGTATCTGAAAGGGACAAATAGGTTTGGAAAGAGAATTTTGTATTCTCTTTTGTATATTTTGTATATGGTGGTGTATTTACCATTACCACCAATACTAAATAGGAACCAAGAGGGAGAAAAATAAAAAAATTATTTCTTAGGTATTTTTAATGGGAAATCCTCGGTAATAGAATTTAAAACATTGTATGTTCTCCTTCCCTCGTTTTATAGACAAGACTTGGAGGTTGAGTCTGAAAGCAGAGCTAAGACTAGTCTGTTAGTTCCAAGGCTTGGTACTCTTTCGGTCTGTGCTGATTTGTACCAGTCTCATCAGTTCTTTATATAATCCAACTTTTCAGATGATTTGCTCAACATACAGATTGAGTAAGTATGGTGAAAGAATACATCCCTGGCACACACCTTTCCTAATTTTAAACCATTCATTGTCTCCTTATTCTGTTCAAACAGCTACATCTTGGTCTATGTACAAGTTTCTCATGAGCTCAGTTAAGTGTTCTGAAATAGCCATTCTTTGCAATATTATCCATAGCTTGTCATGACACACACAGTTCTGATAGTTTGTTCAGAAAAAAAAATTAAGTGGATACCCTTCATGTTTTATTGCTATTACTAAATGTCAGGATTGTATGCTATTATGTCTTATAAATTTCTTTTATTGGTTTAAATATGGAAATGCCACAGTGGTTAAGTGCCATCATTTGTAATGCAGTGTGTCATTTGAAAAGAGATTCAAAGAAACTGACAGCTTTCTAAACAAATGGGAAATCCAAGGAACTGTTAGCAACTAACAACATCCTTTGTTTTCAGAATGAATAGTGTACTTTTGATGCACAAAGTCCAATCTGGTATCACCATGCCACACCCATTCCCTGCCTCTTTCATAGGACACTTCACTGCCATTTTCTATACACATGGAAGAAAAATAAATGTGGAAATTTCATTCTTGGAAATTAGAAAAAAAAAATGCCTTTTTATAGTCGAAAAAGCACAGGCAAACAAACCTCTTAGTGCTTTCAGCCAAGATTCATTTGACGTCAGCAATGGTGTCTTTCATTCCATGTCCTCATCTGAATCTGACTTGAACAGCAGTTTCCTGTCAATGTACTGTTGCGCCTGTTTTTCAATTATCTTTAACAAAACTCTACTTGCATGTGATATTAATGATATTGTCCAATGATTTCCGCATTCTGTTGGGTTACCTTTCTGGAATGGGCAACAATAGGGATCTCTTCCAATCAATTGGCCAGATAGCTCTTTCCAAATTTCTTGGCTTAGATGAGAGAATGTCTTCAGTGCAGCATCACCTTGTTGAAAGATTTCAATTTGTATTCCATCAATTCTTGGAGTCTTGTTTTTTGCCACTGCCTTCAGTGCACCTTGGAATTCTTCCTTCAGTACCATTGGCTCTTGATCATATGCTTCCTCGTGAAATAGTTGAACATCGATCATTTCTTTTTGGTATAGTGATTATGTGTATTCCTTCCATCTTCTTTTTATCCTTTCTGTATCAGTCAGTCAGTATTTTGTCCATAGAATTTTTCAGTGTTGAAATTTGAGGCTTGAATGTCTTCTTCAGTTCATTCAGCTTGAGAAATGCATAGTGTGTTCTTCTCTTTTGGTTTTCCAACTCCAGGTCTTTGCCCATTTCATTATACTACTTGACTTTGTCTTAAGCTGCCCTTTGAAATATTCTGTTCAACGCTTTGACTTCCTCACTTCTTCCATTTGCTTTAGCATCTTTATGCAGGAGGTCAAGTTTCAGAGTTTCTTCTTACATCCACTTTGGTCTTTTATTTCTTTCTTCTTTTCTTAATGATCTTTTGCTTTCTTCCTGTATGATGTTTTTGATGTCATCCCACAACTCTTCTGGTCTTCAGTCATTAGTGTCTAAAGCAACAAATCTTTTCTTGAGATGATCTCCAAATTCTCCTGGGATATGATTAATGGGTGTCCTGGTGTGGCACTTTGGGATAAACACTCGACCATAAGGTCAGTTTGAACTGCAAGGTCAGCAGTTCAAACTCACCAGGCACGCCTTGGAAGCCCTATTCAGTGTCGCCGTGAGTTGGTACTAACTCGATGGCACTTAACAACAATAACATGCTCCATTCAGGTGTGGATCATTACATTAATTGGATAACACTGTGAAAAATAACTATTCCAGAACACCTAATTGAGCTCTTGAGGAACCTGTACACAGACTAAGAGGCAGTCGTTCACACAGAACAAGGAGACACTGAGTGGTTTAAAATTTTGGCTCACGTGGACTTGTCTGAATTTTCTTCATCTTCAGCCTGAGCTTGCATATGAACAATTGGTAGTCTGTTCCACAGTTTGCCCTTGGCCTTGTTTTGACTCATACATCAGGATTGGAGGAAGACTCATTAACAACCTGCGATATGTAGATGAAACAACTTTGCTTCTTGAAAGCAAAGAATACTTAAAATTTAGTAATGAAAATCAAAGACAATACTCTTCGGTATGGGTTGCACATCAATATAATGAAAACAAAAATCATCACTACTGGACCAATAAATAACATCATGATCAATGGAGAAAAGATTAAAGGTGTCAAAAACTTCATTTTGCTTGGCTCCACCATCAGTACTCTTTAAAGTGTTTAAGAGCAAATATGACAGTTTGAGGATTAAGGTGCGCCTGACACAAGCCATGGTATTTTTAATACCATCATATGCATGTGAAAGTTGGATAATGAATAAGGAAGACCAGAGAAGAATTGATGCATTTGTGTTATGGTGGTTGAGAAGAATATTCTAAGTACCATGGACTACCAGAAGAACAAACAAATGTGTGTTGGAAACAGTACACTCAGAATGCTCTGTAGAAGCCAGGATGGCCAGACTTCTCTCATACTTCAGACATAGTGTCAGAAGGGACCAGTCCCTGGGGAAGGACATCGTGCTCAATAAAGTGGAGGGCCAACAAAAATGAGGAAGACCCCCAGTGAGATGGATTGGCACAGTGACTGCAGCAATGGAGTCAAGCGTATTAACAGTTATGAGGTTGGCACAGAACGAGGCAGTGTTTCATTCTTTGGCAGTGATTACATCAGGTCACTATGAGTCAGAACTTACATGATGGCACCTGAGAACAACTGCAACATCAGTTCTTATTAGTGTTAACTCAGCTGAGACAGTGACGTGAGCACAACTGTGCCAGACGCATGTCATTTCTGTTCTGATTCTGCATTCTCCAACCTCATCAGAAGAAAAACTTCATGTCTGTTTTTTCCTAAGATTTAGACTAGTTAGTAATCAATTCCAGTTATTCAGAAAATAGCTCAACTGTCCAAAGTAGAACTTTCAATTTATTGTGGCTCATTCCTATCAATTCACCCAACAGATGAAGACTGTAGGAAGAAAAGGCCCGAAGTTACATTGAAGTACTTAGTTTAATGTTCTTCTCATTCATTTGAATTCTGTTCCCTCGTTTTACTTTCCTGTATTTCATTCCGTAAGTATCTGTGTAGCTTCTGTTTGGGAGCCACTAAGAATGCAGTGAAAATCAAAGCAAATACATGGTCTCTTGGCATTTATAATCTAATGGGGAAGGTAACACACACACTACACACACACAATCCAGACCTGCTGCTATTGAATCGATTCAGACTCAGTGATCATATATTGAGTTCCCAAGATTGTAAATCTTTACAAAAGAAGACATCCATCCGTACCTTTCTTCGTTAGGGTTTGAACTGCTGACTTTGCAGTTTGAAGTCCAGTACCTAACCCACAGTGCCACTAAGGCCCCTTACAGGGAAAGTTGTTGTTGCTGTTGAGTGTCGTTTGTTTTGGTGACCACATATTTACAACCATAAGTTACGGGCTGTCATGAAAAGGAAAACCTTTCTACAGCACATGTGATAAAGGAGCCTAGATAAGAGGGGTGCAGTCTTTCCTGTTAGATTCTGAAGCTAAGAACTGAAGAGTAAAGGATGATAGAAGCATTACAAAAAAAGAAAGGAGAATGTGTGGAATTATAGTAGTGATGCAAAGATAATGCCACATGTACTAGAAGATCCTAGGCCTGGTCATGTTAAGGTTGAAGCCTTTGATCACAACACTGAGAAATCAAGTGGGCTGTTTCTTATAAGGGTTGGAAATTCATTGGAGAAAAAAACAATAGAGAAAAGGTGAACATGCACTTGGTAGTTGCTCTTTATTGTGATTTCTGCAAGCCATTTGTTAATGGAAATGTGGAGCTTTCTGAGTTCCCTTGGATCACTCTTTTTGATGTAGCCAAATTACTCTCCTTATCTATAGCAAAAGCTTATCTTTTGTAAATGTAAGTTTAAACGTGTATATTTTTGTTAAGTCATAGCTTATAATTTATTCCAGTGCTTCCCTAGAAACATTTATATAGAAAATTGTGCTCTAATGGAAAAAAATTTTTTTAAAGAATATGTTTTAGTAAAATCAAAGCATGCTTAGAATATGTTTAAATAATAGACATTTTTTTAATGTTTCTTTTGTCTAGATTTGACGTTGAATTTGTTCTCTCAGAGCCTGTTTCTGAATGGAATGGCAAACAGGGACACATTTCACCAGCTCTTCTTTCTGAATTTTTTATAAGAAGCTCAGATAAATCCAAAGTTCTTGTCTGCATTTGTGGACCAACACCATTTACAGAACAAGGGATAAGGTAAGTAGTAATGTGGTTGAAAACACAATGTTCAAACTATAAAATGAAGAGCTTCCCTTAAAAAATAGTTGACACTTTACAGTTCTTTCTTTTTGTGTGAACCTGCAGTTTAATAATCTGTTATAACAGCCTAAGAAAAACACTGATTTTTTAAATCTTCATACACATAAAGAGTTAGAGACCTGAGCTATACGTAGTATCAGAAAGAACACGAAAGTAAGTTACAACCAGCTCTCCATAATCTCTGCTAATGATTGGCATGGATCAATTGACAGTGAAGTCACGATCATATCTGGCACATCTGGTTCTTCTATCAGAGCTTCATAGCATATAGTAAGTAATATTTCTACCAAAGCCTTGGAATACATATCATTATTGTTGTTTATATATCGACTTAGTTCTATATCGACCCTGTATGGGGTTTCCAAGGAGCAGCTGGTAAGTTTGAACTCTGACTTTGCAGTTCAAACCGACCTTATGGTTCAGTGCTTTATCCTACAGTGCCACACCAAGACTTTTTATAGTCCTGGTGTGGCGCTGTGGGTTAATCCACTGTACTGCAAGGTCAGTTTGAACTACAGGTAACTGGTTCGAGCTCACCAGCCACTCCTCAGAAAATCTACACAGGGTCGCTATGAGTCGGAACTGACTCGATGGTGTGGTACTTAACAATAACAATAAACTATGTAGGAGCCATAGTGGCTCCAGTTAGCAAAGCCACAGTTAGCAAAGCACCTGGCTGCTAACCAAAATATCAGCAGTTCAAACTCACCAGCACTCCACAGGAGAAAGATACGGCCTTCTGCTGTAAAGATTTACAGCCTTGGAAACCCTACGGGGCAGTGCTACTCTGACCAACGGGGTCACCGTGAGTCAAAATCAATTCAATGGTAGTGGATGTTTTGTTCATATGTTTTTTTTGTTTTAACCTCTATAGGTTTCTTTTCTCAGTTTTATCTCAGAGCTAATGTTTCTGATCTGCTTTCTGCAAGGTCATCAGTTCAAACCCAGTAGTCATTCTTCAGAAACCCTATAAAGGGTTGCTGTGAGTTGGAGCCAACTTAGCAACAATAATAATCTTTCTATACTGTGCTATGTGACTTGCCTACAGTTGTCCCAGGAGTATTAATAATGTTACCCACCCTTGAACATGCTGTATAAGATAGCTCAATTCCAACCCGAATTGGCTGTTCATAACATGTACCCTGTGCATCCATCTGTGTAAGCCTCATATTTCTTTGATTGCTTTGCTCCTGCCATCTTATTATAGATGTCACTCTTAATTGGCAGTTACATGGGCCTCTTACTATACTATAGTTTTCACTCTTCATAAAAATGATTCTTTCTTTGAGATCCCTACTCTTAGAAACTCTCTAAAGTTAATTTCATGCTGATTACATAGATTATATTATAAATATAACCATCTTAAACATTTTTTCCATATTTGAAGAAATTTTGTCAAATTCATATGTTATAAGAGAGACAGACTCAATATAAAAGCATTTTTAAACATATATATATAAACAGTTTATGAGGTAAGTCAGAAAGTATTACTGCTAGGGCTCCAATTCATATATACAGGTGTCTATTCCAGTCAAAGGAGTGCTGCTGTGGCACTGTAGGACCACAAAATTGGTTTGAACCACAAGGTCGGTGCTGTTTGGGAACCCTATGCTGGATCTCTCTGGGTCGGAACCAACTCAGTGGCACTTAACAACAACAACAACAATTCCAAACAAAACAATCAGTGGATGGCTGTAGACAAGTTCCCTCAATTATACATTTGTCTTTAGTCTCATTAGGATGCCTGTAGAAAGATAAACCAGAGGGTTATGGTAACTATTTTATGGGATTCCAAAGGAGTCATTTTGGTATAGCTCAAAGGACACAGGATAATCATGGGAACTTATTAGGAAGAAGTTTTAAGAACATGGAAAACAGCACTGCTGAGAAAAACTGCAGGAAATTTGCACTAAGGAGTTTTTTCCATCATGATAATGTACCTGCTCATTCTTTGAGGGTAGCAAGGATTGTCTGAGAATAATTTGTTTGGGAAATCTTACCCATACACCCTATAACCCTGATCTTGCCCCTTCAAAATGTTTTTTGTTCCCTGAGCTCAAAGAACATTGAAAAGGAACACAATTTGTGTCCCTCAAGTATACTAAAACTGCCATTTGACATGGTGTAAATTGAAGAGTGCAGAGTTTTTCCAGGAAGGGTTAGAGAGAGAGCAACACCACCTTCAGAAGTGTATAGACCTAGATGGAAGATTTTTCAAGAAACAATAACTCCACACTTTCGTAATTTAGTTTAATAAAGGTTTCAATAATTTTGAAACAATACTTTTTGACTTACCCTCATATAATTACTTGTCGAATAAAAGTTCTGTTATCCAGTATACATCCACTTTATTTATTACAGAGATGGGGAAAATAAAAGGGTGTTTGCTTTCAAGACTTTTTAGTTGCTAATAGTGAAAAGAAATGCACACACTGATTACTAAAATATGGCTTTAAATGCTGTAAATAGAATGTTGGCAAATTTAGTCCCTTAATGAACTAATGGATCGATACAGCAAAATAAGATCTCATCAAAATCCACTGATTTTGAAGGGATACCAAAGAAAAGAGAAGCAACCTATGAAATCATATTTCCAAAAAGAATTGAACCTATATCTGATCCTATTAATCCTACTTAAGTTTGGGAAGTAGAAAAGCATAATAAGTTGGGAAAACAAAAATTAAAGTATTATACCAATGCATGGTAAACTTTAATCTTGTTTATTTTTACCGTTATCTCTAAAAAAAAGAAACCTGTGTTTTATTTGTTTTTCAGATTGCTGCATGATCTTAACTTTTCCAAAGATGAGATACATAGTTTTACAGCATAATGAAGAACTGTCATTGTCCTTTATTCAGCTGATTTATCTAAATTTGTGATTGGTTAGAGTTTTCTAAGAGAACATTTTTGTATATACAAAAAAACGAACTAGGATCCAGGCTTCTGTTTCTTAAATGAAATCAAATGTTCCTTCAGTATAGATAACTTGTGCTTTATTTTGTACCATAACTTATTTTATTACTACTGATATTTGACCTGGAAATTCAGTCATGACACAACAAATGCATACAGGATTCTTTGTTATGAATCATAAGTTTATTTACCATTTAAATTGTCTACATCACTGTTCTAAAATAGGCACATGTGTTTTATGACATGATTAAGTAAATGATCACTTTGATAACATTTCTATGATGTAAACTGTCTAATTAGCAATACAGATGAATTTTACATTGCACTGTTAACTCAGGAAACGGTCACTTATATCCTTGTTATTAATATTAAAACATGGAATGTTATGACTTACTAAGTGATCCAAACATTATGTGTGTGTGTGTGTGTGTGTGTGTGTGTGTGTGTGTGTGTGTGGCGTGATTCAGAGTAAAATAAAATTATATTTGAGCACTTTTTAATCATTGTAGTGGGAATGTGGTTGAATGCAGTAATATTGGTTCTATAAGGAGAATTCAAAATAGCAGCAATAAAAGATACTGAAGATGCTTCTTCACATGTATAGTGCTGGACTAGGTGTGATTAATTCATAGCCAAAACCAACTGAAAAAAAGCATCAGCAAAGGTAACGAAAGTGTAGCATCTTCTCTGGTGGCCTAAAATAATTATTCGGTGCTTTGAAATAGATTAAATAGTAACTCCTCCAAAGGAACACTCTGTCCTAAATGATGCTGTTTCCCTGGCTGGCAGCTTTCCCCACAGCTGGCAGTTCAGCAGGGAGCCCTCCTAAGCACTGATGTGTGGGCTTCTTATCCTTTTTGCCTGCTGCTATGTGCAGCCTTCAAGTTCTTTCATAGATGGGATTTAGTAGAGTATCACGAAAAGCCATTAACTTTCTTTTTTCAGTCTTCATTAATATAGCACCACTGTTTCACGGATATAAAATAAAGTGGAAGTGAGGGTGAAGGGCTAAATTGTCACTGGAGAAATTATGCATTTAAGAGGACCACAATATGCAATGATTGATTGGAAATTGTCACCTTTTCAAGTCTTTTCTATAGCTGTTCTTACCCTCATCAACGTCACTCAGACAAGAATCTAGCTTTGCTGGACTGGCAGCATACCTACCCAGTAGCTAAATTTCTGTCTCTCTTCTACCTCCATTATCTCCTTAGTCTAAGAGGGATCATTTCTTCCTGCAAATTATCTTTTTGCTCTTGGATGGAGTTCATTAGTAGCATATCACCTCATCCTACTTTAGTCAATTTCATTCTCATCACATCCTTTTTCCTCTCTCTTCCAATCTGTTCCTGGCTTCTTCAGTTTTCGCTCTATTACTATCCATATATGTCACTTTCTCATTCCTCCTTTTATTAGATTTTAAAGCAAAAGAGAACCCATAAGCGCCTTCTAGGTGATCTTATCCACTCATTTTATTAACTTATATGTTAATACCTGGTGTGGCACTGTAGGATAAGCAGTGGACTGCTAACAGCAAGGCTAGATGTTGAAACCCACCAGCAACTTCTTGGAAACCCTATACAAGATCGCTATGAGCTCATTCAATGGCACTTATCAACACAATGTTAATACCACCACATATCTTTCAGTTTCTGTACTGTGGTTTCTTTACATGTTGCTGTCATCCTGGAGGTGATACCACTGGTATTTCAAACATCAGCAGGTTGACAGGTTTCAGTGGCACTTACAGATTAAGACAGTAGGAAGAAAGACCTGGCAGTCTGCGTCTGAAAACAATTGGCCAAGGATAAAACCTTATGAACAGCAGTGGAACATTGTCTGATATAGTACCAAAAGATGAGCCCTTCTGGTTGGAAATCTTCAAAATACAACTGAGGGAAAGCTGCCTCCTCAAAGTAGAGTCAACCTTGACATGTTGTTGTTGCTATGTGCCGTGGAGTCGGTTCCAACTCATAGCGACCCTGTACAGGGTTTCCAAGGCTGTAAATCTTTATAGGAGCAGAAAGCCTCATCTTTCTCCCACGGACCGGCTGGTAGTTTCGAACTGCTGACCTTGTGGTTCACAGTCCGATTTGTAACCACTATGCTACCAGATGAGATAAAACTTTTGGGACCTTCATTTACTGATGTGGCATGACTCAATATGAAAAGAAACAGCTGCAAACATCCATTGATCAGAACATAGAATATGCTAAGTATGAATAGAGGAAACTTGGAAGCAGTCAAAAGTGAAATAGAAAATAAAAAGATTGATCCTAGGTATTAGTGAACCTTAGTGTCCTTGGTGATAGGAATGATGCTGGAAATTGCATGATGGAATTTTATTAGAGCGATGACATATTCATTGATGATACCTTTTTAAAACAACATAAAAGGTGACTATACACATGGACCTTACCAGCTGGAATACACAGAAATCAAAATGACTATATCTGTGGGAAGAGATAGTGGAGAAGTTCAACATCACCAGCCAAAATAAGGCAAGGAGCAGTCCATCAATTGTTCGTAATGCAAGTTCAGGGTGAAGCTGAAAAAAATTAAAACAAGTCCACTAGCGCCAAAAAATGACTTTGAACATATCCTAACTGAATTTAGAGATCATCTCAGGAACAGATTTGAAGCATTAGACACTACTGGACATAGACCAGAAGAACTTTGAGATGACATCAACAACATCATT